GAGAGAGAGAGAGAGAGAGAGAGAGAAAATATATATATATAAATGAGAATGATCAATCATGGCCCATGGAAAGATGTGGAAAATGAGAAATTGAGAGAACAAGAGAAGATGAGAGAGAAAATATTCACAAGATGAAATTCTCAGTCTTTGTAACCTAATCTCAGAGTGATATCCCATTCCATTAGCCATATTTTATTCATTTAAAGGTTCAGGTAACACTCAAGGGGAAGAACAGCAACAAAAAGTCTTTGATACCAGGAGGTGGGAATCACCGGTGACCATCTTAGAAGGCTATCTATGAGATACATTAAGGAATTATTGTTAATTTTTTCCTTAGGTATGATAATAATATTGTGGTCAAGATGTTTTTTATCTTTTATTGATAAATACTAAAATATTTACGGATAAAATAATATTAAACATTTGTTTCAAAATAATACAATAGGAGGTGGCAAAGTAGATGGGGGTATAAATCAAACAAATAGGACCAAAAACTGAAGAACATTGAAGCTGGATGTTGAGGATTAATTCTATTATTCCTTTTAATTTTGTGTTTGCTTGAAATTTTTTAAAGAATTTTTTTTTAATAAAAATATTTTATTTTCCATCTACTGAATTTCTGTGTTTATTATACAATAGCTGTTATCTGGGTCAAAGTAAAACAAGTGTATTTAATATGCCCCCTAAACTTCAATAGTAATAAAGTCAACATGCCGTGATTTTATGATTGATCTTTATATTGCTTTATATTTATTTTCAATCAATGCTGAGTCCAGAAATGTATGGTATTTCAACCTATTTATATTAAGGTCTAATCTGTTTAAATAAAAGTTCTGCAGCTATCATAGAAACTTGAGATGACTACCCTATATTAAAAGCCCCATAAGCCTGAATACTCAGAGTAATGTCATCTTAGAATAAAATTCGCCAAGTGGTGTTATAATTATTTCCCAAAGTAATTATAAATTAAATTTACATACTAGCAGTTAAAGTTGGCTGCATCCTTTAGAGTAAAGAAGTTGAGTGATAACATGTAAAGAATGCTTATTTTAAAAACACATATATGGTTAGGGTAGAAAAAGATGCAAATTTTGATTCTTTAATTCATTTGGTAGATAGAGAGGATGTGGTAATTTTTAATAACACATATTTTTCAGCAGAGTATATAAGGTGACTTTTTTCATAACCCAGAGGCACTAATACTAGAAATATTAGGTTAGTAAATGAAAAGAAGTATAAGACTTAAAAAATAGGAGACAAGGCACCTGCTCCTAAAATATATTAACATTTGTCTAAGAAGAATATATTCACAAAAAGACCATATGTGTCACAGCATACCTGTCAACTTTTGCGTCACCCTTTTGGAATTCGCCTGTCTTCATGATGTTCCTCAAGTTCTCTATGACACCTTCCCTTATCCCTCAACCAATGGGAATCTCTCTTCCATATTCCTTCATTGATCTGTGTCACACATTTATGTGGCAGCATAGTCAATATTTTTTGGTTTGTGTCCTTTTCTAAGAGTATTTTTAATATCTTCTTAGGTCATGGATTAGCGTTTTGAAAACCTGGGCCGGGTCTCTTACTTTGTGTACCCCTGAAAGGCCTTGTAATGTGGGTTCTCCATACATACATGTTGAAGGAGTAATGAAATAAAATGATTTGCAAAGCTTTGATATTTATCGACTAAGTTTTATTCCACTGTAGAGTGTGTTCCTGTGTAGTCTTCTCAGTGATGTGTATTGAACTGTTCTGTATGGGCTCTGTTCAGTTGGGGAAGATATGTTAGTTGTTAATTCTTTACTTGAAGAGCTCTTTCCTGAGAAATCTTACAGACTTTTGGGAACAACATGGGATTAAAACGTTTTAGGTCTCTCTTCTCTCAGTACGTTGCAGGTACTTACTGTGTTGTTATTTCAGTCTAATTGCTTTAATGCTTTCTCTTAAGATACTGTGTGAATGAACAATCTGAGATGTATCGATAAAAATGGTGCAATGTGGTGAGGCAGAGGTGATACTAGAATTCTATTATCAAAGTGACCTTTAAGTGCTTTCAGAATTTTCTGTTACGTAATTTAGTAATAAGTTGAGTTCATTGAGTTCACATGAATTCTTGTTAATTCTTTTTAAAATGATTAACATTTGAATAGTATATGTTGATATAGCATTTCTACATTGCCTTTATAATTTAAAATATATTTGTTATTATATCTGATGCATTTTATGAGAAGACATTAAACCATGCTCAATGAACTTATAGATCATTTTAAATTCAGAGTCTTAATAACTGCATGCTTTAATATCTTCTCATAAGAAAATGTGTCAATGTCTGAATATGTAGCTGCTTTTTAAAAAAATAAGTAAATATAAAACAAAACAAAATGAATGAACATAAATGCTTTGAAAATATCCTTAAACATTAAAGAAAAATATTGAACCTGAGCTCTTTGGAAAAATGCAAAGAAGCTTTACTCTTTTCATTTGGTTCATGGTTGGAAAAGGCTTGGAGAATGGATGAGAAGCTTCCCTGGGATTGGAATAACATCAGGCAGAAGCCTCTAGACTAGGGGGCTGAAGAAAGCGCACTGAGGAGACCCACATTAGAGTCCCCTTGCTATTCTCGATGAGGACCCTCTCCTGAGGTACTCTCCTAGGGGAAGTCTTGCGGCTTCCAACCTGTGCAGGCTGGTAAGGGAATCACCCAACGTCTTGAAGACCTCCATATCTTCACATGTTCAGGAAGTGACTTTCGAGGAATTCACACAGAAGAGCTTATTCAGGCACAGCAAGGTTTGATTCAGGTTCCTCTCACACCGTGGAAACCTTTATGGCATCCAGGTTATTCTTCCATCAGTGATGGCCTATGAGCTCCAGGCATGATGTTGAAATAAAAGCTTAGGGAGAAAATATAGAAGGTCCTCTCTTCCCTTTCAGGCAAGCACATTACATGAGTTTCACTCCCAGGTATATCTAACAATATTCTGGTGAGAGTTTCACTTCCAGGATTATCTAACAATATTCTGAAGACAAACACAATCAACTTTCTACTCTAGATTTAGAATTAGAGCCTTCTACTAGCTAAGGATGGACAGATGCAAATGGAGCTCCTAACCCAAAGTGCTATTTCAAATATACTAATGGGCTAACCAGGATTCTAATACACTTATTGAGGCAAAGGGGTATCGCAGTTTTTTCTAGCTAATTACATATCTTGAACACATTCATCAATGAAAAGCATTACTAATGTACTTTATGCTAATTCATAGATGTCCTGAGGATATATGTGAATAAGTCTGAGTCACTTATATAGCTACCGTGAGCACAGATTTTGAATAAAGATCCTTTCAAACATAAGTAACACTTCACCACCACCATGACCAGCGTAATTATAATACATAAATATTTTAAAGTATAAGACTGACAATATTACATTTCAGTAAATGACTTATAAAAGACATTCAGCCAAATGAACAGTTTGTTGCAAGTTAGGGCTTTTGATTGGTAGACTACTCTCTAGTCTTCTCATCTTGATTAGATGTTTTTTTCCCCACTATCTTAAGAACTTACATGGGTGCAGATCTAGTAAACTCTTTCACTCTTATTCCTTAGGTTTGTGCTGTGACTACTACTAGCCCACTCAAATGGATCTTATCAGGGTCAATAAGGACTACTATTAATATATTGGTAAGTCATTGACCCATTCTTGACTCTTATGTTAACCTATCAGTAACACATGACACAGCGAAATTTTTACTCAAATGTCATCTCTTTGAGGCCTTTCTCAGTCACTTGATCTAGAATTCTAAGTCCCTGCCTTATTACTTCCTTTCCACTTCTTTGCCTCTTCTTCTTAGCTGTTATGTGCATTTAATATGCTACAGGTTTTACATATCAGTCCCAGTTATTTTCTTTCTCCTCCCAACCAGAGCATGAGCTCCACGAGGGCTGTAATTTCTGTCTGTTTTATTCATTGTTTTATCACTGGTGCCTAGAACAATGCATGACACAAAAGAAGTGATTATTGTGCATTTGTTGATTGACTGGATGAATGAAAAATATCATTTGTGGAAACCTAAACCAACATGAGCTTGTGGAAAGCAATGTGAGAATGTTTATATGTATAAAGAGGGTTTCAAAAAACTTGTTCATGTATTTTTTATTCCAATGAATTTATATTTAGAAATCTATCATAAGTAAATAATCAGAGACAAGATGCAAATTCTGAGTCCCTTAAGTATTATCACCACAGGCTGCTTGAACACATCTGATAGCCACATGAAAGTATTTACTGCTAACCTGAGATTTGACTACAAACCATTGTTGTATTCCCCATCTCTGCAGATGCCGTGTATTGTTTTGTATTGTGCTGTGTGTCATAAGATGTTCACTTTGGTGGGGGTGACGTAAGATAGAGAGCTTCATTCACAGTCTTTGGGAGTTTACATTTATACAATTTTATGAAAGCAATTTTTAAATCTGCAACAAAAGACTTACAAATATTAAAATTGTTAACACACAAATTCCACTTAGAATTAATCATAAAGCAATACTCATACAGGCAACAATTTACATAAAAGGACAGTCATCATATAATTATTGATAATGGTTAAAAGTTGAAAACCTTAACATTCAGAAATTAAATATGTATTCAGTGGAATATTTGTTTTCACAGACTAATAATCTGCAAAATGTCCTTGATAAGTGAAAAATCACATATTTTTGAGAGCACAACTCCAAATCATCTTTTATTAATATGAAAAGGGCATATTTAGCAAAAGACACACTGAGAAAAGAGTCACTGTGGCCCAGGACATGGGGCAGAGAGGTGCCAGGCCTGAGTCCCTGCTGGGAGAGAAGGAGGCTCAGGACAAAGTGGGAGAAGTGCTGGGAAGAGCTGCGTAGTGGGGCCACAGAAAGCTCCAGTAGGCAACACTGTTGGCAGGTCATGGGTGGCACTCACCAGGACGTCGCTGCTAACTCTTGTTTTGGGGGGGGCATAGTTAGTGCTGCCACCTCGAGTGAGAGCCGCCCCTTGGTTCCTGGAGGGCACCCACCAAGGGACACAGGACAGGAAGTCCAGGATGGCTAGTGCAGCTCGGGATGAAGGCCAGGGAGAAGCGGGTGCTCTGCAATGTCCAGAAAAGGTCCAGACCCTGAGGCTGAGGGGCTTCCTGTTTCGTGCGGACGCTCCACTCCGTCTCTGCCAGGCACTCTCCGATTAGGGCCCGGGCGTGGATGATATCTCTCTTCAGGCCCTTCATGGTGCTCTTGCTGCCAGCATAGGTGGGCCGGATCTCTTTGCTCATATCCTCTATGACCGACAGCAGGTCCTTGTAGGGTGTTCTGGGAGCCCTGGGCGCTGGTGACTTCATCTCCTGCACAAAGCCCATGGAAGGCGGCCCGAAGTCCTTAAACAGTGGTCTGAAAGGGGCAGCGGCCCCTGACTTTGAGCCCGAAGGCGATGGGACGCTTCGTGACCACGCCCACTTCATGGACCAGCGGGGCCAGCAAAATGAGGCTTAGCGAGGGTAGGCGGCAGGCCCAATATTGCAGAACTCAGGTTGTCTTCATTTCGAGGTCTCCACCTCCCGGCAGGCGAGCAGGAGTGGAGCTAGATCCTCACCTGGTAGGGACCGGGGTGCACGGCCCAGGCGTGCTGGAGCAGGGGGTGAAAAATCACATTTCTAAATAAGGAATCCAATTTTATATTAACAGCATATATCTTTTATTTTTTAAAAAGTATAGAGAAAGGGGATGAAATCAATGTTACAATGTTATCTGTGGAATTTGACATGGGTGATTTTCCTCACTAGAATATTAAGGTAGAATAAAAAATAGAATGGGACAGTAAAAGTCAGGTTCTTGACTGAAAATCTGCAGGTTTCCTTGCCCAACCTTTTACATTTGCGCAACACTTACATGTCACCTTCTAACAATCGATTCTCCTAACTGCCTTGTGAGGTTAGCAGGTCAAATATCATTATCTCCAGTTCTTACATATAGACCCAGAGAGGTTAAGAGACTTGCCCAAGGTAACCCAGTTAGAAGGTAATAGAACTAAAATAAAAAAAAAAAAAAATTTTAAAAAACTCCATCTCTTTCAGTCACATGCTTTCCCCTACATTGTTCTAAACTATTGTGCTAAAAAATTAGAAAAAAGAAAGGCAGTGATTGTGTTCTCCTGAAAGCTATTTGAGTGCGCTTCTATTAGTGCCAGACAGCTTTGAAGTCATTGATTGCCCCTGAGAGATGATGAGACTGTGCTCTATGGAACTTGGCCATCGTTACCATGTGATTTTCAATTAAGAAGCAAATCAAAAGTATCCCAGTGTCATGGTCATAACCTGAAGGGTTCAGACAAGCTACTAGCTGCTACGAATCAGGGAGGACTAATCATTTGTCTGTGTGTGCTGACTGTCGTTTTTCAGAAGAAATGGTCTTTCACACTTGTGGCCAAGCTATTTTATTTTTCGTACTATGGGTGTTGTCATTTGTGAATTAGGTCTTTAACTTATTTTTGACTCTTGGGAAAACTTATTCCAGAATATTCATTGAACAATCACTACAATAATACAGAATGTGAAAGTATGTTGTTGAGAACAGAACAACTTTGAGAAGTTCAGTAAGAAGACTGCTGGGGAAAGTATAAAAAGCTGTGAACTTAAAGATATGGGATCAATACAGCCAAGTTGATGGTCCAACTGTCTAACCTTCAGCAAGTCACAACCACTAAACTTCATAATTCATAAACCAGTGCTATTAATCTCTATCTCATAAAGTAGTGAAGATTAAAATAAAATAACTTGTGCCAAAGGGTCTAGCCCTATAATAAAGTGTAAATTTGCTGAATACATTTTTGTTTTGTTTTGTTTCAATGTAGTGATATAGAAACAGTATCCTCTAGGATGTTAGCTGGAGACTTTAAGGGTAAGCACCTTACTGTGAGAAAGAGCCACTTCATGAAGGAAATGTGATTGGTGCTATGTGATATGCCCTTATGAATTGGCCACTAAGGAGGACGTGAAGGAGCCACGTGAAAAATGTTGTAATCATGCCTACCAATGGCAATTACTTAGGTGTCATTGTTGATTGATCTTACTGCAAAAGGTAAGAAGTACTCTTTCTCAGGTACATTGTAAAGAAGATGAAAAGGACGTATCTACCTCACACTATTTTTTTAATATCTTAATTGTAAAGCAAGCTGCAACTGTCAGAAAACAAAATTTACATAATTGTCATTCATACTTGAATGAATTGATATTATTAAGCACTTTCTTGTTTATCCCTTGGCACACTTTTTATTGACCTATATAAAATTTTGCTTATTTTAGTAATACATTATTATGAGATGTGGTTTTTATTCTCCATTTTTTACCTCACCATCAACTGGATATAAATTCTATATCTCAAATATGTGGATCTCAGTTTCACCTTTTAAGATTTTTTACCAATTCAGCCATTATTTCAAGCTCTTTTTATCCTGTTATTGATGTCTCTAGGTCCCAGACCCTTTGACTTTTATTTTTGAGTGATGCACTTGACATAATTTAGTTTTAGGGTCTCCCTGGGTACCATGAATGAAATAATTTGATGACCATGATGTCATGCTCAATAGTCATTCATGAATCCTCCTTTAGGACATCTAGAAACTCTTACCCAAAAATCAAAGAAGACAAAAGATTATCAATTTCTCAGAATGAATTAACTTTTAATATTAATGTTAATGTCACAGCACATAAAGATGCTTCTTGTGGTTAAGTTTGAAGATGCAGAAATCCTTGTCAAGTTACCAAGCCAGAGATGTGCTGTGATCACTTGCTCTTTGTCTTTGTTCTTAGTGCTATGCCTGCTGGCTACTTGGCAGGGTGTATCCTAGGTATCCCTTTGTAGAGCATATGTCCTAGCTCTGTGTTCTAGGTTCATTTGCTCACTCAACCATTTAACAAATAGCTCTTGGGTGCCTACTATATACTAGGCACAGTTTTCTGAACTGGGGATACTTAAAAAAATAAAAAATCCATAGCTTTATGGAGCTTATATTCTAGTATGAGTGACTAAAAGTTAGCAAGTAAAATAAACAGGATGTTAGCAAAGGTGTCCAGGTTAGTGTTGCCAAACCAGTAAATACAGCCATATAAGAGACTTGCCTCAAAAAGTTATTTAATGATAAAATGTTTGAAAATCCTCAAGTAAAACAAATATTTTCATGTCAAAATTCTACCACTGTCAACATGTTGAAACATGATGCAATTCTAGTTTGTACCCAGATGGCATGGTTTAGGACTGGTCACAAGTGAAATATCTTAAGTATTTGTGTGGATAACCTTGGCTTTAGTCACTATCATTTTGTACATAGTGTATAAAAAAGCAAGCTCTTTTTCTGTGGCTTCCAGTTGACCTTCTACAGAGTTTCTACAGAGTTGTTCCAAAAATATTTGAATAGTGGAAGTCTCATAAGAAGCAGCATGTGACGTCATCTTAAAAGCTGAGCACTTTCCAGGGTATTTGGACTTTAGTTTAAAACAACAAAATTAATATCTATCTTATGGTGTTATCACCATTGAATGAATGTCATCAAATGTCAATCTCATGATAGCAGCCCTATCCAGTAGATGGTAATACTGGGGCAGTGTTGTTCCTAAGCTCCTTGTCAGCAATGTAAACATTGCTAATATTCCTAGGGCTTGGGAAGATTAATATTAGATGAGGCTAAGAAGCGTGGGCTGAACTATAAAAATATCTTGTTTATAACAAGGTCCCATAACAGGACCTGGCCTTGACTCACTTGAAATGTCCGGGTGGACATCAGAACAAATTGCACTATTAGAATTTGATAAAAAGCCTCATTTGCTGCTTAAATTTGAACATTACCCAGATGACTAGGAAATAATATGGAAAAATATTCAACTCTCTGCTTTTGCAATATCTCCCATTGAATGTCATAATGGATGGATGAGCATTTCAGGAATAAATACTGGCAGTTAGAAATACTGTGTCCTGTAAGTCATTTGAGCTATTTGTGGGAGGTGTGAGTACCTAAAAAAATTCAGGTTTTGGTAAGAAGGAGGAAGGGTTAACAGACGGTAGGTAAACAACACACCCAGCTACACACTCCAAATTAAAATTGAAGCCATCACACATTTTGTTTGCATATGCTACTAATAGTTGTTTTGAAATGTAATAAATTGTCCTGCAGGGTCAGCATAACAATCTAGTAGGCACAATTTGGAATTAGTTGTATTAATTATGTGTTTGTTGGTGTTGTGAATAGGGCTTTGCTATTACTGGGTAAACACTAGTACTTGAGTCTTTTCTTCAAAGCGTATGTATGTATGTATGTATGTATGTATGTATGTATGTATGTGTATATATATCCCAACAAAGGAGCTCATTTGAGAATGTGTGCAGCAAAATAATATTGTAGCTTCATGTAGGAAACATGACAGGAAAGGTAATCACCTAACTCAGAACTTATAAAAAACCTGATGTTTTCTCTTATTTGTCCTTTATATATGTGTATATATATATCTTGAGCCTTACAATAGTCTATGGAGAATACAGGAAACCACATATTCTGATGCTAAGGAATTAAAGACATTTTGTATTCCCTTGACTATATTTACTAATACCGTTCTTGTTCTGTTGCTATTTGTTATGTAACAGATCAAATATATGACTTAGCCCCCATATATGTTTCTAACTTGAAAAAGAGTGTGAACAAAGTCAAGTGATGGTGATTTGCTGCTTTGAGTGTTGAGCATTTTCTGCTGGTTCTTCTTCTCTTTCACAGTGTTTCTGGGCACCAAAGTAAAATTCTGACTGAGTTCATATTGCTGAGAATAGCCTCTAATTATTTGTTTTTATTGTGTCTCTCACACCTGACATTGTAACAAGTATTTTGATGCCACTATTGAAAATTATAGTTTCAGGGCCAAGACAAGCGTTGAGAGCTGTTAAGTCCCTGAGCCACAAAGAACCACTGTTAATGAAGACATCCCCACTTGCAATATTACTAAATTTTATGTAATAGACTGTTTTTCCAATGTTTCCTAATGACGGTCCTTGCACACTTTTATAACACTTGGAATGAACCTTATACTCACTGCCAGGGAAAGCCAGGTGAGCCACTGTGTGCAGAGCAGAATGAGGTACTACTGTTGACTGTCACACCTGCTGTGATTTCCTCTGGAAATGGTGGCTTCCTAGTTGCACAAACTGACATACTGTGTCGCACAAAATTATAATATCTTCCCTCTCTAGCCAACTACATACTTGTCACCTCTAAAACTGTTAAAATCTGTATTTATGTAGGGTATTCAGTTTTACTTTTTGCTTTGTAATGTGTCTCGACTGTATAGAGCTGTAAAACAAGGTTCCAGTGTATCCATTGGTAATTTTTATTTTCCATCTGTTGAAGCCATTTGAAAAAGCTGATGGTCTCTTACTAGCTCAAACTCAGAGCTCAGAAAATAATAGTTTATAATATTCCCATGGTGCTTTTTAGAGTCATTTTTTTTTTCTTGGTACTTAATTTTTTTCTTTCTCTGGGTGATAGTTTTTTACTTCCAGCATAGAACTGTAGGTGTTTGGCTGTCTCTTTTTTAGATTTAATGCCACACACTGCGTTCCACTGCTACAACATGTGTGTACAATAAATTTTCTTGTAAACTGAG